CCCGCCCGCCGGCCCACCAGCTCGTGGAAACCACTGAAGACGCCTCAAAACCGCCAAGCCACGTGCCGGTACCCACTGCTGGCTTCTAAATGGCGTTTTCCCAACTTTTTGAGCCCTCGCTCCTGCGCCGGGCGCGTCCGCGGTGCTCGTAGGTGCAAGGAGAATTAGCGCGCAGCCGTTCTCGTCTTGCAGACTCGCTGCCGCAGGGGAAGAGCGAAGCCTTTAGCTCAGAGACGCAGCGAGTGCCAACGCAGGAGACGATCAGCGACACGGTTTCCATTTACTTTGAAGTTAAATCTCGTTTTGAAAAGGAAAAAGGCTTGATTTTTTTATTTTTTTTCCCCCCGGCACCGGCCACGGCTCCTCCAGACGCTGCTGGGGTGCCAGCCGAGCTCTCCCCATGCTGGCTGAGCTCTCCCCACGCCATCCGAGCTCTCCCCATGCTGGCTGAGCTCTCCCCACACCATCCGAGCTCTCCCCATGCTGGCTGAGCTCTCCCCATGCCCACTGAGCTCTCTCCGTGCTGGCTGAGCTCTCCCCACACCATCCGAGCTCTCCCCATGCTAGCTGAGCTCTCCCCATGCTCACTGAGCTCTCTCTGTGCTGGCTGAGCTCTCCCCGTGCCCACCGAGCTCTCCCCATGCCCACTGAGCTCTCTCCATGCTGGCTGAGCTCTCCCTGTGCCCACCAAGCTCTCCCCACACCATCCGAGCTCTCCCCATGCTAGCTGAGCTCTCCCCATGCTCACTGAGCTCTCTCTGTGCTGGCTGAGCTCTCCCCGTGCCCACCAAGCTCTCCCCGAGCCAACTGAGCTCTCTCCATGCTGGCTGAGCTCTCCCCGTGCCCACCAAGCTCTCCCCGAGCCAACTGAGCTCTCTCCATGCTGGCTGAGCTCTCCCCGTGCCCACCAAGCTCTCCCCGAGCCAACTGAGCTCTCTCCATGCTGGCTGAGCTCTCCCCGTGCCCACCAAGCTCTCCCCGAGCCAACTGAGCTCTCTCCATGCTGGCTGAGCTCTCCCCGTGCCCACCAAGCTCTCCCCGAGCCAACTGAGCTCTCTCCATGCTGGCTGAGCTCTCCCTGTGCCCACCAAGCTCTCCCCACACCATCCGAGCTCTCCCCGTGCGTCCCCTGGTTTAATTTTCACGCTGGGTTAGCTCAGGATGCTCCTTCCTCGGACTGATCTGGATGGAGGCGAAGCTGCCTCCAGCTCCTGAAGGAATTGCTCCCTACGAATTCCCTGTCATCAGCCCAGCAGCTCTGAAATTCCCCTGGAGTTCAGAGAGCAGTGGGTTTCGTGCCCGTGCTGAAGTCCTGCCCAGGTTTTTCTCCCCGTGTATACAGAAATACGATCTCCAGCCAAGTGCCAGGGGTGGTAAACACCCATGAAGGGTGACAGGGAGACAGGGGCTCCGCCGCTGCCAAGCCATTCTGATGACTTCATGAATTGCTGCATTTCACATCTCACCCCAGTGTCTTCACAAATATCCCATGCATGTTATTTACAAATACTCCCAGCGGAAAGCCTGGCAGAAAGGCCATCTGCAAACCCACCCGAGAGCTCCTGCCATCCACAAACGCGCCCCTTTTTGCCCCCGGGCCCCCGCAAGAGCTCCCCCGCGTGGATCACAACTCTTCCCCCGGGCCTTCGGCCGAGCATCGCGTGCCCTGCCGGCAGCAGCGGTGCCAGCAGAAAAGGGACAAGGACAACATCCAAGGGATGGAGAAACACCCAACCGGTATTGGCCATACTGGAAATGAAGTCTGAACCACTAAACCCCGAATTTTAGCATCTGAGCAGGAGCAGGGAGGCTTCACAAGCAAACCCTGGTCATTTCACCCATCCATTCCCCCCGGACAGGGAGCGAGGGCAATGGTTCCTCCTGCTGCAGCGTGCTCCGAGGGGCACAGATGAAGAGCCCTAGAGCCCTACGAGGAGAGGTTGAGGGAGCTGGGCTTGTTCAGCCTGAAGAAGAGAAGGCTGCGAGGGGACCTTATAAATGCCTACAAATATCTGAAGGGTGGGTGTCAGGAGGATGGGGCCAAGCTCTTTTCAGTGGTGCCCAGTGACAGGACAAGGGGCAATGGGCACAAACTGAGGCACAGGAAGTTCCGTCTGAACATGAGGAAGAACTTCTTCCCTCTGAGGGTGACGGAGCACTGGAACAGGCTGCCCAGGGAGGTTGTGGAGTCTCCTTCTCTGGAGATATTCAAGACCCACCTGGACAAGGTCCTCT